ACTCCAGACGACTGTATTGTTCTGCGAGTTTTAATGAGTGGCCCCTCAGGTTTGTATTGCTGCTGAGTTGTAGTAAAGGGCGGCACACATGAAGTGGGTCTCGCAGAATCAAGTATGTCATAATCAGGTCGCCTCGTAGCCTGCGATAGCTTCCACTGAACAATCCTAGTCGTCACAGCCTCTCCTGGTAGGACCGATTGCGCATTCCAATGACGTTCTTAGATGCCCGGCGTTGTGGCTGCTCCAGTGCATTAAGATCGTGTTTCAGCCATGGATGCCAGACTTGAATTGCATATTCGACATGGGGGCGAACATACGCACTGAGCATTTGTCGAAATATGGAGCTGTTTATTTGTCCAAATGCCCGCCTCAACAGCCCAACGTGTTGGTTCCCGGTCTTCGAGGCCTTTTCGGATTGCCTGGAGCAACCCAAGTCATCTTGAACCAGGACACCCAAGTCACGTTCGAGAGTTGATTCTTGTAGTATATTTGTTCCGGGCCTATATGAGCAGCTGCTCTGATGTCGGATGGAAGGTACCTTCCATTTACACATGTTGAAATGCAGTAAGTTTTGGGCTGAGCATTGATACACTGTATCTAAGTCACTTTGAAGCACATGTTTGTCGGCGTTCTCATAGATCCTGCGCCAGATCTTGATATCGTCGGCAAACATTAGGAAGTTTGAAGCGATTCCCTGTGCAAGGTCATTAATGAACACCAAAAACAAACGTGGACCTAGAACCGAGCCTTGTGGCACACCACACTCAACTTGTATGGGGTCCGATAAAGAGCTCCGAACTCTGACCACTAATTGCCTTCGAAATAGAAAGTTGGCGATCCAGCTTAAAAGAGGGTCGCCGATCCCGTAATGCTGCAGCTTGGATAGTAGTATCCGATGGTCTAGGCGATCGAAAGCCTTGGAAAAATCCAGGTAGATCGCATCAACACCTTCTCCAGCGTCGGCTGCCTCGGTCCAACTACTGCGTGCAATTAGTAAATTAGTTGTACATGACCGCTGTCGACGGAAACCGTGCTGTACAGGAGTGATGAGGTTGCAGTTTTCCAGATAGCACACCAGTGCATCGGCAACTATGGATTCCATGACCTTGGAGAGTATAGGAAGAAGGGTTACTGGGCGGTAGTTGGAAGGATCAGTTCTGCTTCCACCTTTGTGAATCGGGCTTATTATTCCAAGCTTCCACATGGCGGGAACTTGGTTCTGGTCTAAGCAGTGCTGAAAAAACTGAGCTAAATGTCCTGCCAGTTGGTTTGCTGCTGCTCCCAATGCCTCAGGACGAATGGCGTCGACACCCGGCGAGCTGTGTTTGCGTAGAGAAGTCAGCTTTTGCAATACAGCCTCTGCGGTAAAATTGATGTGGGTTAGTCCTGGTGAGCAGAATACAAAGCTTGGTAGATCGCTTGGTGGCAAGACCCTTTGAAACGTGGGGGCGTATTGCATCTGCAGCGCGTTTGCAGCTTCCATAGACGTTCTTGTTGGGCCATCAGCCGTCTTGAGTGGAGGAAATCCTTGCCTCACCTTTCGTAGGCTATTAACGTGCTTGTACAGCAGTTTGTGGTTAGCACTGAAGGTTTTTGCGATGTTCTGCTGATAGGCGGCTTTGTCTTCTCTTAACAGTTGAGTGCAGTGGTTACGTTGGGCTACGTAGTTGTCCCACGTTTCTGGTGCTGGAGCTTCTCTGTACACTCGCCATGCTGCGTTGCGTACTGTCATCCATTTTCGGGTTCTGCTCCTAACGAAAGAAACGGATTTGTACTTATTGCAAGCTTTTATCTCTGAAGCCTGTGCAATCAGCTGACTGAATGTGTTGACGAACTCGAGCCAGGCGAGTTCCGGGGGTACTTCTTCGAGGAAAGACCATGTTGTGGCGCTGACTAGCTGGGCGAGTCGGTCGTACCTTGTGATAGTTCGCACAGTATCATCGTTATCATTCCGATATTCTGCATAGCAGACGAAGTTGAAACTGATGACTGCGTGATCACTGCGACCTAACGGGCAGTCTAAAACCAATGCATCAATCATATGCTCCTCGTTGGTAAGCACAAGATCCAGCACAGATGGCGTGTTACCAGTTCTGAACCGAGTGGGCAAAGTGATGTGGTTGTAAAGTGGAACAGTAGTTACTAGATCTTGTAAATCGGTTTTGAATTGTTCTCCGATCGTGGCAGGGGATTTTAAACAATGTACGTTGAAATCACCCATGATAAGAATGTGAGTGTACTTTTGTTGTAAACTGCACCTTAAAGCAGCCATTAGGTGGTAGTCGGTTTCGGGTGTTGAGTTAGGGGCGCGGTACACCAAGATAATAAGGCAAGCGTCCCTGCCTTTTAACTGCAACCGGCACCAAAGAGAGTCGGGGAACTGCGAATCTGAATCCTCCACGGCCTCGCACTGTAAGTCGTTTCGGTAGTACAGGATTACCCCTCCTCCTTTTGTGAGCCTATCGTTCCGGATCAGCGACATGCCGGGTAGCGAAAATTCAGCGTCCGTCATCCCCGTGTGCAACCATGTCTCGGTGACACCAATGACATCATACGAGCCGGAAGCTTGGCGATCTTTCAGTTCAGCCAGTTTGTTAGAAAGTCCCTGAGCATTTGTATACAAGCAGGCCAGTTTCTCGGTCTCTAGGAGCCCGCAGAGAGGTGAAGCTGTCAAGTGTGGGAGAATGCCGACCGATGGGAGGTCGGCAGTTATTCGTTTTTTTGATGAGTCAGTGATACCTCGTTTGCAACTTGATTCGGCCAAGGTGCGTCCCAGCCTTCGTTTAGACCTACGTCAGAGTCAATTAAAGCAGCAGTCAAGTTACACTTCTGTACATTCGTCAGGATGCTTGCTGCTTCAGTTGCTTTAATACTTGAGCTGTGCGAATTGTTTGCGACCTTTAACCGAATTTCGGAGGGAAGATGTTTCCGATTTCTCCGCCATCGATCCAAAACATCCTTTGCTTGTTGCTCTGACTGCACCACAAGTTTTAGGATTCTAGGGTCGCATCCTCTATAATTCGATGAGAGAGGTATCCTGGTGAGCGATAGTGCCCCAACATCATCCAAAGAAAGTGTTTCACGAATGAACTGCCACTGTTCTAAATCGTGCTTTCCGGTCTCTTGAACATCGTTAGAAGGATGTTCTGGCACGCCATGTATGAAGATTGTGTTTAGGCGGTCTTGCTTGCTGTGCCCCTCTTCGGTGGTTCGTTTTGGTTGTCGCGCGCTCCAAGGGACATCAGGATAGATACGTGTCGCACAGGATTCGTGTTTTAGCGCGCTTGCGGAGAGCAAAACGTTTTCTACGTCGGTGGAGGATTCTAGAGTTACTCGAATAAGTCTGGGTTCACCACAGTGTGGCGAGTTCGGATGACGAGTAATTCGTAACAAGTTTATGGGCTTGGCTTTGATACTCATCTGCATACACAATGAGTTCCATTGGTCTTGGTCGTCCGATAACTTATCTCGCAATGTGATGGCGGTAGATTCAGGGACATTTGAGCATACAACAGTCCGGGCACTGTTGTTGGATCCCTTTTTAATCGATCTACAAGTTATGGTACTCATTTGTCTTGACTTGTTGACAAGTGATTGTTTGCTGTTTTTCTCTCCATTTGCGTTAACGGTGTTTACAATGGAAGAGGACGCAACGGCGGCCTCTCGGTGGACCCTTGCGGCAATCTCTGCATATGTAACCGATGTTCTGGGAGGCTTAGTCTCGACAAGAGATATTTGAGCTACCGGTACCAAGGGTTGGTGTTTGGCTACTCCATCCTTGTTAATACTAGATGTCAGGTCTAGTGGAATTTGCTTAACCAGACGTTTTGAATGGTGCCTGATTTTCTTTGCTGTGAGTACTGCTTGATTCACGTAGGTACAGTCTGTTTTCGCCCGGCGTTCTACCAAAGTTGGAGAAGACAACGGAGATGGAGAGGTGGCTGATTGCGGTGCAGGGGAAGCGATTTGTTCAGCATTCCGTTGCTTAGCAGCCGCTACGCTTCTGTGGTCCATACTCGCTCCCATTGAAGTAATCTTATTGGTTATCCTCTGCTCCGCTTCTGCGATTAACCGGTCGCATTTCTCAGCCAGGATAAGCAAGCACTTAACGATGGGGATGGTGGAACACGCAGTACAGAACCAAAAAGCATCTTGGGAGCTATTTCGCTCCCGTAACTGTTGTTGGGACACATTTACACATTTCGTATGGTACCATTCCAAACAGTGCGAACAAGCTAGACCGATTTTTACTACCCGATGACATTCTCCTAACCCGCAAATGCCTTTCGATGGGAGTCTCTTCGGTTTTGCCTTTCTGCCATTCAATTTGGTGTCGTTACCTGACCCAGTGGGTTGGTTAGCGTTCTGTACTTTTACAGCTTTGCGAGCGGCGCACATCGGTCAGGCGAGCGTGGTGGTTGCAAGGTCGAATGAGCGGTCGGCATGGTCGCGCGGTCCGTGTGATGGGTAATGCAGCCGCACTGGCTGACAAGGTCACATGGAATGGCGAGTGACTGAAACCTGAACAGAACGCTGAACACAGATTGACAGATCACAGATTCTTTCACAGCTGTGTTGAGAAACACTGGATCGGAGTAATCTTAGGCTTTTCGGCCTGCCTCGAGAATCCTGTATCGAATGGTGTCACACAGAATGGCAACCGGCTCAATACGATTGAATTAAACGCTTGCGCTTAATCACAGATGCCAATGAAAACGGTTGGCGATGGTGCAGCCTCTAATATTAGAAGATATTTCCACGTATGATGGATCACTGTATAGAGCTGGTAAATCCGGTTCGAATGAGCCTACAGTGACAACGCTGCGAGAAGATGGAGAGAGGATAGAGGGAAATAATCCAAATGAACCAGTAGCACGCACGTCACGCGTGTGTGAGGATGACCTTGGCTCGTAATCGTCCGAATACTTGGGAGAGATGACAGCTATGGTGATTTCTGCTCGTTGATGCGAAGATGATATCATCCAAATACTTACAATCCGATGGTAGGTCTGCTAGCATCGTATGTATCTGGTGTTGTATGGGAGCCGATTCAGCGTTCACTTCCAAAGGTAGCCTAGTATGCTGATACAGTCAACAGTGTTAATTGTAAGAAAGCGTCGTGCATTTCATCGGCTACCCTGTTAAGATAAGCACCCGAGGCAGAAATCTATCAAAAACCTAGCTGTCATCAAGTCTGGCGAAATATCCTCCGGTTGTGTTATCCTTTAACTAAGAATATTTTGTTGACTTAATGCAACAGCCAAGGGTGGAGTTGAACACCTCTAGGAACTGCTTCTGTATACCGTTGGCAATTGCGGTGCGTAGCAGTATATTGATGTGTCCGGACCTGATAGGATTTCCCCGCTTAACTCGCACACAGATTCGAGAGCAACTCACCACAGGTTTAACGCCGTGATCCACTCGATAACAAGTATGTTTAGTCCCAAGTTATGCACTGGTGAATCTTCCATATAGCCGTAGGATATTTTTCGATGCAGTCCTTGCGGCATTTTCTGCCTTGCATAGTATCGGTCCACCGATAGCTAACCATGTCGGTCTGGAGATGTTGGTAATATCAGATGCGGTATCCAGCTGCAGGCGCACTACGTGATCATTACTAGTGACGGTGATGAAGTTGCAAAATGTACGGAATCCTTCCCGTGCACTTGCATAAATGAAATTGGATCCCATTTTCATTCCGCGTTTCTGAGACGGTGTTATCTGGCTTCCACGATAACGACGTCGCCGAAATGAAGCCTATATATAGATGCTGACTTCGTGATATCCTTTAAGATTCCTTGTGTTATGCCACTGGATACGTTACTGGGCAGCGAGCCCAGTGGACTATCGATCACTGCACCATCTATCTACAAATGAGCTTGCCCTTGATAATAGGCCGTTATGATTTGTACGCATAAACAATGTATCGGTTTCAGTTTTCAAGTGAAGATAATGCAGTATTTTCGTCTTTCATTACAGCGCCCTGAAGTTGTCTCAACTAAAAGATGAACTGGTGGAACAATTTGGGCGTTTGGATAGCCTATTGAATGGTAAAGGAGTGAGCTTTGATACAGGCAATTGCTTTGTTATTATGCTCCACTTCATAGATTTATTGTACCTGAAGACATTACCTCGTGCCAAACAAGGAACTTAAGCTGCATGCACTTAGCTTGTTACTATTGCAACCGAGACATTTGCTAATGCTTAACTTTTTGCTACATGCGATGGAAACCTCCTCAAACAGTCTACGGATACTCTGCTCATCTCACAGGATAATAAACGACCTCTTTCCTGATGTGTTGACAGAGGTGTATAAGAGTAGAGGTGCTACTGTCCAGCATTTCCCGTCTTTCCCTTTTTATTCTTACGTATTTTACTCCTACTATTCCAGTCGTAATATTTATTATATCACGTCCTTTCGATTACCCATGTTTTTCCTACCCCATGTTGTTTCGATAGTAGGTTATCTACCAGTTTCGACACCCACGCCATCGCAGCGCTACACTCCGGTCCACTGTACAAGTCAATGTCTCGTGGATACCTCAGTTCATCCGCATCTGCTTGTGGCATGCCTCAACGTGCGCAGTCGGCTACAAATCCATCAACGGAGAGCAATCGCCCGAACACCAGTGATCCCATCGATGGATATCGGTTGCTTATCGAAAGCCCACCTGAAAGATTCGAGCTCTGTGCTCGATTATCTGTCCGATTCCCTTCATATGACCATGGCACCGTTTTCTCATTGCGCTTATCTGGAGAGAACGCAGCCTAAACTGCCGGCCAAGCCCGCGTGGACATTGCTCTGGGTCTCCGAGTTAAAGCTGCTCTGATCGATTGGATTCCATTCAACAGCCGGATGCGGGCCATCATATTGTCTGGCACGTTCAATTCTTCGAAATCACGCGGGGACAAACGGTGCCTGTTTGTCATTGCTGCCCTACGCGACCACAAACCGTAGTGTTAGCTCGGTGAATTATGACTCCTGTCGACAAGTAAACGATCTCCTTCTTCGCAAAACCCTACCGAACATGTAGTGCACTCTGATGATTTGAACGCTCAAGTTGCAAAACTGTCCACTCATGAGTTGCATCTGGCAGACCTGCACGATGTGGGCTCCCGTGATGATAATGGTGATCAGTTACTATATTTGTGTGAAGATGCTGGTCCATTACAAATGAACACTAAATTTTGGTACAACACTCGCACCCATTATTATATGGCGCCTAGCGGCCTAGGGCCACCTATGGACACCAATTGGTCATATCGCGTTCAGCTACCGTTGGAGAGAATGCATGTACTGTCGCCGCTCAACTTGGATCACAAGCGTAGACTCTGACCATGCAAATCTGCGAGTCCATCTCTGCTAATGCCTGCTACGACACCTCAAAAGCATAAACACTCGCTGACTGACGAAACCAGTTGTTCTGTATACGTAATAAAGTGCAGTGATATATGGGTTGACTAAGCGACCACTTTTCGCAATTGATCGTCACTGGGCACATGCTATTAGTAGCAGATATCTCTTCGTGTGTCAGATCCGATTACCAGTTTGGACTATGGTATTCTAAGCAGTCACTGGGATTCCTCCATGCTAGCTAACACATTCCTACTGCATGCGGCTGCTTCGAAACACCACGATCACAGGACAAATTGTGCGCAAGGCTGAAGAGTGACACCGAACTCCGTTGGTCTAACTGTCTATCGGAGACAAAAGTTGCCCCTCACAAAACATGAAACGTTTAGTTGAGCACTTTGGAAAGCAATTCAGTCGACCAGAATTATCATCTTCTTTGATTTTCATTAGTTTGCCTACTCTATGAGCTGCTCCTTTTATCCGCCGTTGCGCGTATACATCGAATGAGATTGGACTGCTGGTATTGAATAATGCCGCAGCCTTAGTTGCCCCCACAATAACCGAAACATCTTTTCAGCGCACTGTAAACTTCATCACGACATAAGCGTACACTGTCGTGTCTTCTTTATCATCAAAACGGCATCTGCTATAACTCACGTCGGAATCTAGAAAACCAAGACGAACCAATGAGCAAAGCGTCCACAGCAAGCCCACTGAAATTCGGTATCATCGACCGAGTATATTATCCTAATAACTGGAACGTGTTTGCTTTCAGAAATTACCTATCCCGAATTCGCAGTGCATGATGTGTCCCTTGTTTGAAACGATCTACCTAACAGCGGAAGTGGGGCACTTCTGTACTACGGCACTGGCCTGCAGTGCGAGCCAGTGATTAATCCGAGAACACTGAGAACAGGCCCATCATGGTGTCATCTGCGACTGGGACGTAACCACCATATACCTTTGGTAATTTATTAGCATCCCCAATGTCCACTCCAGAGATGGATTCTGACATGACAGCGGCGGCCAAGGTACAACCGTGATCTCATAACAGGTGACTTCAATATTTATGATCTGGAGCTCCCAGCATCCAACGGTGGGCAGTTTTTGACCGAACTGCAGGAGTTCAATGCAATCATTTCGCTCTTCAGCCCTGTCAGTTGGCCCACCAGATTCAGAGGCAAGCAAACCATCAGCTCTTGATTTGGTGCTCATGAACGAAGGGCTCATATTTGATAAGCTAGTGATGTAGAGTCCTCTGGGGCTGATTGAGCATGTCACCACACTTTACCATTATGTGTATTACGCAGAGTATTCATAAAAAGATCTTGACTTGTTTCGTAAAACATACTAGCAGAACTTGTTTAGGAAGCCATCTGTGAATCCTTGGATGACGGTTCCAATGATGATGCAAAGATGAGGTTTGTTTGTAAGTTCAGCAATAATTTACCTCTGCGTCAGTAACTTGGTCTGTTCTTTTTGCAAGAGTACCGTCCTTTATTCGAAGCAGCATCCGAAAACACATGACAGTACGTATTGAAGCATGGCTTACAAGCGGAGCTGACCCCAGTCTTGGCACATGGAGCAATTATTTGGTGCAGCCTAATCACGGTGCCACATTCGTTCTTGAGAACAAACTAAGACAGCATCAAGGCGTAGCCTAGTTTTGTGACAATAACGGGCTGCCGTACATATAGACAGCTTCTGGGAAGTGAAGCGTGACATTCTCCAGCTCATCTCAGTAGACGGACGCACTGAAAGCGCCGAAAATCTAGCTATCACTCAACGGCTCCAATATGCTACAATATTCCGGTTCTCCACCAGCATGTGTCACATACCGGTCCCACTCCCCCAGACGCCACTGTTCATCCACCTCGCTTTTAGTTCAGCTACTGTATTAAGTAAGGTGTTAAGATTACACGCCCATCGTTCTCTCGGAGTTGACAATATTCATCCTACAACACTAGGATGACTCGGATAGCTGAGACTTTGTCGCGATTGTCTCAAAGATGGTTGGATGAACAGCATGTTCCCAAAATGTGGAAGCAAACTATCATTATCCCAAATTTTAACGGTATTAGCCATTCGGAACTCCCCAACCATCGCCCAGTGATGTTCCTCTCGGTGCTCTCATATGTGATGGAGTTGCTCATATCTGAGGCATTAATATCACAACGCCGCCGCAGTACGGTTTCTGTCAATACCAGTCATGTACTACCAACCTACTAAATGCGCGTGTTAGTTGGAATGATCCGGCCGATAGTGTGACCGAAACAGATATCATCAAACTATAGTTTAGATGTCTTCGACTGCCTTCATCAGCACATACTTTCCGATAATTTGCAAACCTACCGAACTCTGTCTTTGGATGGATCAGAAACTTCTATCTTCAGCGGTGACTGCGGATAACTGATCGGGACTTATTGTCTGGTCTAACCGAGGTGAAATGTGTGTTCCACAAAATACATTTCCTTGATCGCACTTATTCCTGATCTTCATGAAGCTGGCTTCATAATCAGAGAAGTGGATAATCTGGTCATTCGCTTTCGCCCTTTGTTTTGTTAGGTTTAAATCATCTGGTGTACGTTGTGATTCACAATTTCTTTACCAATCTTTGTGAGTCTACTTGAAGATAAAGCGGTGGGCAAATACAAATTTATTTTATTCGTGTTCTAGTGGACAATGCCAAACTAGCGGAGCTGGCTAAATTGCGAAATGAACTTAATGATCTACGCAATCAGTTTTCCGAAGGAAGAGCCTCGGACTATTTAACTGTGTAAGTGTCCATGAGCATTTTATGTCATCTGGGTCGAATACTAACCAATGTACTGTGATGGTCGGACAATATTGTTCATTTTGGAAAAGCTCCTTTGTGTCAAATGACTACAGTCTACTTTACTGTGGTATCGTAAAACTTGACAACACTACATATAGCTGATGGATAGATGAACATCCGGATCCTTTTCCGTTAGGAAGCAGTGTCTCGAACTAAAACCACTCAACCGTTGGCGAACATTAGGTTTCAGCTCATTCGGGAGATGATTTGGGTCGTGTTACATAACAGGACTTTCATTGGTTTATCCCGTCTCGTTTTCTATTACTGACTGGTATTTTAACACGAATATTGATGCATTGTTGCTAGTTCAATATTAACCACAAAACAGCACACTGGACATAATTAGGTTAGCGTAGACCTAATTGAAACTCCATCCTTGCACCTTACAGTATCTCGTCGTCGATAGTGGATTACGCCCTGCACTTTTAATATCGATTACACGTGAGACATATTTTTCCTTTCAGGCTGAACGAGAATATCCGGGGTCGTCGAACTGTTGACATGGGTGGAATCAAGATCGTCCGCTTAGATGATGACCAACCACTTGAGAGAGTAAGCTCGTTGCGCTTCAAATGTGCAACTTTTTGTTGAGAAGGCATTCTATTTTGTTTTTTTCTCATTCGCTTTAATTGTAGCACCTTAGCAGTGATCCGAGCATTTATACTTTAACGGTTATCGCTCGAAGCTCTGGCCAACATTTCTGTCCGTAGGAATATCAAATGTTGTATTTTAGTGTCACCGAATAGGTATAGTAACCGGAGCCACAATCTGCTGCGCCACGTAATTTGATTTACTGAACTGTCGTGAGCTGACTGGGGTTGTGTTTCACATATGTAGTCTTACAAGTATAATCGGTGAATTTAAGCCCGTAATAACTCTTTCGAAGAATCCTTTCACGGTTATCATTTTGAGGACATCACTACATGCAGTGGTGTCAAAATAACCGGCTCACATTTCGTCGTTAGTCCGGCGTCTCCTCCACAGAGCTCGCCTACAAAAGGTGATTGGCAAAAAGGTCAATCGAGTTTTCAATGGTCGTCATTGTTGGTCACTTGCAAATTTGCAGGGATAGAGATTAATAACTTGGCTACTTTTAAATCAACTTTTTCGCTCGTAGACAATCCATGGTGGTACATTTTCGCGCACGCCGTCAGAACGTTGTCTGAGAATCACCGTGATAGGCAAGTGAAATATGTTGGTCACTTCAACACTCTTTAGGCTAACCAGCAAACGCTGTTGTAACGCAACAGATGACGGATGTCATTTGTATTCACAGACATTTTATAGGCTTGAAATCGAACACTCTTAAGCCTCGAATATCCAGTATGATTGTAGCCGAAAATTGTCCTCGTATCAACGATGAGAAATTTTTTATAACATTTGCATTAAGTGTTATTAAAATCCACGGCTTTCATTTACGACATTTTGTAAATCTGTGATTTGAATATCACCAAAAATTAATGCCAATTGTGTCAAGTGAGCAATTTTCCTGTAACATAGGTAAAAATCGCTTTAATCTGCGGTGTTTTAGTAAAGTGACGTCATCTCAATTCCAACAAGGTTCAACTATGTTACTATTGCTATATACGGCCTGAGGTTGCACAGTTCCTCCTGTCCTACGGTAAACTCGTAAGACTTTTAGCAGTATTGAATTCGTTTCCAACTGGATCTGAGTTCTTGCTTGACAGCCGTAACTAGATTTCCAGTAACCTAATCTTGTTTTTCAGGCTTTACAAGAGCAGCATGCCGGTGGCGGTTTAGCGAGGTTTCACTGAAATGTCGGACTGTATGTTAGATCCTGGGAAAACAGAACCATAAGTGAGGCAGAACCACTATCGACTGGAAAAATGCGCATTTCACGGTGTTCTGATCATTTCAGGATTTTGGTATTTAGCTACTCAACCCGGATTAAACGAATCGTCGATCTATAGAATCGATTTGTTCACTTCGTACCTCGTTTTTTATTCCCTCAGTATACGCTCACGGCGTCCACTATTGAATACTTGAAGAAACCCAGCTTTGATATTTGGCACTGGGAACCAAACGAGGTGAGTTGTGAACTAGGTTCAGTTCTGTTGCTCGTACACCCGGGCATAATCGTCGGTTGCAGTCTACACAAACACGGTATGTTGTGGCTTGGCCACCCATAGTATAGCCGCACACCAAATCTCCGTTGCATTTTGGAAGGCAGATTCCAAATATCTATTAAAAAAGCAAATAAGCAGTTGTGAAATAACTAATGTGTCGTATCAAAGCAGATAGTCCGCCAAATTAGTCCGCTCTGATGATGACATGCTCATGTGTACTCAAAACGAAGAACCTAACGAGCGGTGACCGGTGCACCCAGTCACTGAAATCTCAAGCATTTCTGAAAGAGTTGACAAAAACCATTTGATTGCTAATGAGTGGACGGATTTGGGTATGCTTCGCTTTGGTTCATTGCAATCAGCTTCCAACCATTTGGTCCACCTCCACCTTGGAACTGTGTGATCGGTAAATGGTCGTGGGTGGTATACACCACACCCACACACAAGATAACCCCACGGATCTCGTAGTTCTGTTCAGTTCCGTTGAACATCTAAGATCCGAGCATCAAAGTGCGGTGAACCCAGTTGCCATGACTCATATCGCACGAATAACAATAAGTAGCAACAGAAGATGGTGCAGTTGAATGCAAAGAAAATACAGAGGAAATGGAAGCAAGAGGGGTGCGTTAGGCTAGTCAGAATGGAAAGAGAATTAGCTAGCAGATAGAAGAAACCGAATGCAACAACGCTTTCGCCTGCACGACTGCGCCATGTTTCATAGGATTTCCAACCATTGGTATAGGTCATCCCGGAGTCCCCATTCATGAAGACGGCACTCACTACCTTGAACAACTCTCGCAGTCAATTTCTTCAAGCCAATCTGCCACGTCATGGACTGGCCACCTCGCGGTTTAACCCAACTTGGTGCAGCCACGGCGTATACTGCAGGCCGAAAAAGCCGACCAACAGGCATACGGAGGACATGGCCTAGCCAACGTAAGCGTTTAAGATTCAGTAAACAATCAAGTGAAGCATCGGAAGGCTTCTTGCCAGAAACCAACTGGCGAATCTCAGCATCGCTCACCCAGTGTTTTCACCAGACGTAAGCAATACACCGCAAGTACCGGTGGTCAAATACCACCAAGCGTTTAATGTCTTGCCGCAAAATGGCCAGATCTCCTATCCAAACAGTAAGACCGGCATTATCGCAGTCTTATACACCCTACTTTTCACGGACACGCAGCTATCTCTCCGTCTACATAGATGGTTGTCTCTGGAAAGCCACACGCGCCTTGCTGATACGCAAAGTAACCTCTTCACTGGCGGGACGACCAGAGGTGACACTGCTACCAATCCACCAGTTCCAGCAGTTGTTCGGTGATAGTCAGAACCTGAGGTGTATTGGTCCATTCCTGTGACAGTAATTGCATTTTGAAAGTGCTAGGAACAAATGTCGAAGCGTGCAGCGTTACCTGTCAGTCTAACTAGTATTGTTTGCATAGCCAATGCTCCAGACCCCAGAAGAGCAATGTCATCCAAGGTTGTCGATCGGTTATATGATACCACTTTCATTCCGCTAGAGCCTGAAAGGACCGAATTATTCACGATCATTTCAATCGCAAAGTTGAAGAGGAAAGGAGATATGGGCCAACCTGGTAAACCACACCGTCGCGATGATACTGGACCCTAACTTGGTGAGATATGTTGCGTAACTCGACTCATTGAGGTATACTGGGTGATGCCTCGGGTCATATGAGTTGCTCCTACCATTTTTGTCAATGGCTAGAGGTCAGACAAACTCAGTTTTCTTGGCCTCCAGGTTGGAGGTTTGAAATCGGATGGGTCCATTTCTGTGAAACTAAATCATTCCGACCTCCCCGCCTCCTTGCGGACAGGCTTTTGAGCCAAAGGCTTTGGTTGAGGACCCTATTTGTCCTCCTGTCTAGCTCTGGGCGCCCTGGCAGTATCTCAGCTCACATACAACCATGACTATTTCCCCAAGCTCTAACTACATCCTGCATCGGCTGTCAGGCCGAATATCAAGGGTCACTTTCTCTGCTACATACAGCAGGGTGGATGAGCGAAAAAATGCTACTGTTAGCGTCTCCATTCTTTCTTTTCAACCTGCTTTTCTTACTCCCATTCCGATCTCATTACTAACCTTACTTCTGTGACCCCCAGCTTAATTGACAGTAACCGAAGTCAAAACTCGCAAAATATTCCCCCTACATGTCTTAAGCTTTTACTCACCTATTACGACTTACTTCTCGTTAATTCATTTTCACTTACATCTCAATATTATTTATCTAATTTCGTAAACTTGCCAATCCTATCATTTCTTTCCGTTTTCTTTTATTCATGTGGCCGGCACAGCGTGGACTGCCAGCGCAGGGCACGTAAGCATTGTTTGGTTGACCATGTGAGTCGTGCGTATTGATCTGGCTATCCTTTGGTAGGCCAATCCCAAGCATTCCCGATTGGCCCAACGACGATTTAGAATGTGAAACGTTCACGGAGTCTTCCTATTGTTCCGATCGCAATTGAACTACAATCTGAAAAGTTAGCATTTCAATTGCCCTCATCAGCCGCGCACGCAGTACAATTAGGAATCAACAGAAGCGAGCATGTGGAACCCAACTTGAAACAAAATGAGCAATCAAAACGAAGGCAATCTAACAGATTGTTTCAGTTGCTTCTGTACACACAACACCGGGGGATACTTCGAGATAAGTAAGGTCTCAGTGACAGCCAGGTTTTTTGGTTCTGATCGCGCACCAGTATTTGGAACGCGATCGATCGATCCACGCGATGACGAGTCAATACGAGATGCCTTGCAATCGACGAGGCTGGACTGCGATTCATTAGTTTATCCGCACAAGTTTGTTGCGCGAACGCATGCCGTAGTCAAGTTGGTAGGTGTTCTGCCATCTTTAGGGTCTGTTTACGGTCAGTCCTGCTTATATAACCGTCACCGAAACTGCAAGTGAACTGCTAGACTATATGTGTGGCCACAATACCTTTTGGATAGTCGTTGAGACTCAGTCTTCGCGTGCTGTGAAGCAGTCGCAACTGGACGATGGTGTAGGTACGCGAGAGCGCAGAGCTGATCTTATGTCTATTGTCATTGGCTACATGATCTCCTTTGAACGATAGAAACAAGCAAACATCCTTTTTCTCTGCAGTTTGAACCGTTGGTTTCTCCTTGGACGATCGGCTATAAACCTGGATGAACCTGTCCGGGTACCCGTTCGATAATAGAGACTTATGTAAAAACTCCTCGAGCTTAAGCGTGTCTTCAGTGCAAATTCGTCTGGCTCTGTAGAAGTGGGCTTTGACTAGACCGCGTTTGTACTCAACTGGAGCGAAGCTAGAGAAGTGCAGATATTGCCCACTCAAAGTCGCTTTTCGTAAGACAGTGCGCTGAAGTGTGCCATTCGCGGAGTTCTTACTGAGCACGTTCAAAAGCGGTAGACTGCTTTGCTATTCGATCTTATGTATCACAGAGAGATTAGAGTTTGCGGAATTAAAGAGGTCAGCAAGTCGCTCGAAATGCTCGCCAGTAGTAAAGACTAGGATGTCATCACATACCGCTAATACAGCTTGGTTCGCTGCGACTGGCAGCAATTTTGCTTACAATCAGAAAAATATCCGCCAAAACTGGTCCTAACTGGCTACACATTGCAACACCGTCAATTTCTTTGTGCGCAGTTACTTCAAACTTAAAGCTTACATTCTGTGTGCATAACAGAATTTGATCACTCAGATACTCCAAGGGGAGACCTACGGACAGATTTGGGCTCTACAAGAATCGACATAAGTCGTCAATTGTCTCACACGTTGGCACACTGGTGAACAATGAATCCACATATATGGAGTACATCAGCTCGGCTCCTAGGCTCGATCGCTCAAACAACTCAACTAAAAGGAATCTTTTAAGCAATAGTTTGCCAACAGGTTACGGACAGGTTCCAGCAATTCCGCTAACCGTCGGGCAACCTTGTGGTAAAGTGAACTATTCATACACATGATCGGGCGCAGTGGAATCCCAACTTTGTGTAACTTCGGGATGCCTCTCATTATTTTGTTACGGTTCCCATCGGTTTCAGTTGCCGATACTGAGACTCGGAGATATATCCGCATAGCAACAGGATTTGTGGTCTAATTACTTGCTTCTCCAGCAGGATAATGTTGTCCGGCGTACTGTCCGGTTGAAAGTTCCGTCTATCTCCAGGACTGGTATCCATTTTGGTAGCGTAATCTACTTTGTCCATGACCACAATACCCGAACTGTTGTCCGGTTGCAGGAACATCACTTGTTCCATCTCTCTCAACTCCCTAATTGCCGTGTAATGCTCGACTTTCAAAGAACACCGTCGACCTATCGGAGTATTCAGTATTTGGTTCGATACGTCAACTAATTTTGCACGGAACAATCCAGTATCTTCCGTTGTTCTTAGTGAGAGGTCGCAGAGCTGAGCATATAGATTTTCAAAACTGACCTGTTGTTGAGTTTATCAACTCCGCGCTGGTAATCGGAACTTCCTCCCTAACGAAGGAAACGCTAGCTGTTCACGCGTAAACCAAGTCGATGCCAGATTGTGTAACTTTTACTGCATGTTTCTGTAGGAAACGGAGCATCCGAGACTCAAACCAGCGAACTGCGTAGTCTGTGCAGTGCCCCAGTACTGGTAAGGCATTGGGTTTCGGCCGAAAATGCCCCATAGTTGAGCCGGTTAACCAATGACAATCCGTTAAGCGTAGCCAGAAACCGCTTTTGCGTCTCCAAAAACTTTTGTACTCCTGCAACACATGCGTCTATATCTGCGGAGGAAATCCAGGCCGGATTAATGCTGTTTGGTGGTAACTTATTCTTTGACAACGTTTTAGCGAAACGATGGAAAACCATTTGAGCGGATACAATCTTCATAAAATTTGACACCAACGCGTTCCACAGATAATGTGCGATGCAATGTAAGCTACCTATCCAAAGCCTTCACATGTTTATGAGAGTGTACTTTTAA